CTCATTGAGATGCGTGTGCTTTGTTCTGGTCGAGGGCCAGGTGGTATGTTTTGTGATTTAAGTCTCTTGTTTAGTGTCAATAGGCGAGCTCTGGTGGCCTAGTGGCAGGAAACTGCACTGCAATCCCAGAGGTGTGTGGTTCAAATCCACCAGATGCTCTTCTGAAGAAGGAGGAACAATCGCCTCCTGTACCAGTAAGATCCAATTTGATGGTACACACATAAAAAAAGAAAAAAAAGTGTCAATAAAACATTCTGGAGAGCCCTTGTTTTTAAGGTGAATGCCTCATCTCCATTTTGGTGACTGGGTGACATGGCAGGATTATGTAAAATGGGTAAGCTTGTTCTGATTGAATGTTTAGTGGAATGTGTTATATTTTGAGGCACTTTCTTTTAAGTTGTACAGCACTTTTGTGTCAAGTTTCTGTACTGAGGTAATCTGGGTTTGCTGTGATGCTGAACCCTGTGCCATTGGAGTGTCAAATGCCATAACAGTTTCCCACGGTGGACAGTGTTTGGTGGAGCTCTCAGTTTAAGACAGGTTTGGAAGCAGGAGTGGCATCCACTTCCTAAACCACATGCCTCTGGAAACTCTATGAACTTGGAGAAATGACGTTAGTTACAGAAAGGCTTCAGACCTTTTCTTCATAGGGTCACTATGAGTTGTGCTTGACTCAAGGCAATCAACAACAACAACACTGAGTTATTATATCACATCAGGATTGGAGAGAGACTCATAAATAACCTGTTTTATGCAGATGACACAACCTTACTTACCAAAAGTGAGGAAGATTGGAAGCACTTTTTGCAGATCAACAGATGCAGCCTTCAGTGAGGACTGTGTCTCAATATCAAGGAAACAAAGATTTTTACCATTGGACCAATAGGCAGTGTAATGATGGATGGAGAGGAGATTGAGACTGTCAACAGCTTCATCTTGCTGGGATCCACAATTAACGATCTTGGTATGAGCAGTCAGGAAATAAGAAGACGTGTTGCACTGGGAAAATCTGCAGTTAGGGACCTTTCCAAATTATGGAGAAGTGGTGATGTCAGTTTGAGGAATAAAGTGCATCTGATTCAGGACATGGTCCTTTCAATTGCTGTCTATGCATCTGAGATCTGGACAATGAATAAGGATGACAGAAAAAGAATTAATGCCTTTGAGCTGTAGTGTTGGAGAAGAGTGCAGAACATTCCATGGATGGCCAAGAAAACAAATAGATATGTCTTGGAGAGGATGCAGCCAGAGTGCTCTTTGGAGGCAAGAATGATGTTCATTTGGACATATTGCTAGGAGGTGCTATTCCTTGGAGAGGCACATGATATTGGAAACGGTGAAGGGTCAGCAAAGGAGAGAAAAACCCTCAACCAGGTGGTTTGACACAGTGACTGCTACAATGGGCTCTAGTGTGTCAGGAAGTGTGATGATGGCACATGACAGGACTAGGTTCAGATCTTTTATTCATAGGGTCACTATGAGTCATACTCAACTCAATGGCACCTAACAACAACAACAACTACCACTATAACTCCATAGCAGCAACTGGATTAGTGTCTGATCAATACCAACTACAGGTTACCTAGGTAACACCTAAAACTATCATGCTATATCATAACAGAATTAATGAAACCTAGTATGTCTGTAAGGAGCTCTGGTGGCCTAGTGGGTAAGGAAGTGCATTGCCAATCCAAAGACAGGCAGTTCTAATCCACCAATTGTTCTACAGGAGAAGGATGGGCAGTATCCTTCCTTGCAATTTATAACCTCTGAAAATCTGCTGGAAGAGCAGCAATGAGTCTGTTCTGACACAACACCACTTAACAAGAACAGAATTCTTGAACCTCCTGCCATCTAGTCCCAACAGCCTAGTTGATAGGTTTTGCATGAGTGCAATTGGTTTACTGTTTACTGTTTACTGTGTAAGGCATTCCTAGCACAGAATCAAGTAGATAAATCCCTTACTAGAGCAGGGACATCCATTAAGGAAATCTTGAAGGTTGTCAAAATAGAGTCTTACTATTTATTCTAATTGAATTTTGAAAATTTGGGAAAAAAGAACTACTTTACAATTTTGTTAGTAATTTGGGAAAAGAAACTAAAAGGAAAAAAATAAGAGCATAAAAATCACCTATAATTAGTTATAGGTTGTTGTATGTTATGGAGTAGAAAAATTTATGGGATCATATTGGCAGGTCTTTTCTCCTATGCAGAAGCTGATGAGTTGGAACCATCTACCAACTGAATGGCAGTTGAGTGTCTAATCATTCCATTGCCAGCGATCATTAACTAGCTTAGAGATGGGATAAAGAACAAAAGATCTAGTTTAAGAGAAAATAGGATGAGCTCCAGAACAGAAATGGTATAGATTAGATTTTTTTTTTAAAGAATAACTAGTGGTTAGAGATAGAATATATAGAACCTAATCCTGTCCATTTGCTGTACTGAGGTAACTTGTGGTGGCTGTGATGCTAAACACTGTGGCACTGATGTGTCAAATACGATAATGGTTACCAGTGGTGGACAGTATTTGGTGGAGCTCCCAGATTAAAACAAACTTGGAAGCAGGAGTGGCATCCACTTCTGAACTAGCTTGCCGCTGGAAACCCTTTGAACTTGGAGAAACGATGAAAGTTATACAAGTGTTCAGCTCTTTTGTTCATAGGGTCACTATGAGTCATCTATGACAATTACAATAACAACAATGCAGAGAAACAAATCTGTCTAGAAGGAAATGCAAGAATGTTCCTTGGAGGCAAGGATGGTAAAACTATCTCACTTACTTTGGGTGCATTACTTAGGAGGAACCAGTCCTTAGAACCATCATTGGGAAAGGCAGATGGTCAGCTAAAGAGAGGAAGGCGTTCAAGGAGGTGGGTTGACACAGTGACTAGTACAATGGGCTTGGGCGGGACAGAGATCCTGAAGATGGTGCAAGATAAGGCAAGGTTCAGATCTGTTGTTCAGAGGGTTGCTGTGAGTTGTACTCACAAACGATATATATGCAAAAACGATGGAAAGCAGTCCAATGAGGTGGGAATTTCTAAGTTAAAATGAAATCCTTTGAGGACATGTGCTATATCTTTTTTACCTTTATTTCCAGTAGTGCCTAGCACACTAACAGATGCATGAATAAAGGAATGAGACAAGTGTTTAAGAGTACAGATTTCTCAGTCAAACAAAAGGCATCAGGTTAAAAAAGCCAGTTTCTGTGTGACTTTGTGCAAGTTGAATGATATTTTAATCTTTAATTTCTTGTGTAAAATGGAGATGGCACTATTGTTGTCATTACTGTTGCTGCTGTTGTTAGGTGCCATTAAATCAACTACAACTCATAGCAGCCCTGTTAAAACCACACATGGACCGGGTCCTACCTTAAAGCCATCCTCATTGTTACAGCCACTATGTCAATCCATCTCACTGAGAGTCTTCCTCTCTTTTGCAGACCCTCTACCTTTCTCAGCATCTTGTCTTTTTCCAAGGACTGGATAGCATGCCCAAAGTGTGTAAGATGAAGTTTCACAATCCTTGCCTCTAAGAAGCACCCTGATTGTACTCCTGCCAAGACAGACTTGTTTGTTCTGTTGGCAATCCATTCTCTTTGCCAATACCACAATTCGAAGGTTTGGATTCTTCTTTTGTCTTTCTTATTCATTGTTCAACTTTCAGACGTATGAGAAGCAATTGAAAATACTATTGCTTGGAGCACGTACACCTTAGTTTTTAAACTGACATCTTTTTTCTTAGCACTTCATAGAGGTCTTTGGCAGAATTTTCCCAATGCAGTACATCTTTTGATTTCTTGACTTCTGCTACTATGGATTTTGATTGTAGACCCAAGTAAAATAAAGTTGTTGACAATTTCAATCTTTTCTTCATCTATCATGTTGTCTATTTGTCAGTGGTGAGGACTTTTGTTTTCTTGGCGTCGAGGTATATATAATACATATTAAAAGCTATACGTCTTTGATCTTCTGAAGCAAGGACTTCAGGTCCTCTTTACTTCTATAAGCAAGGCTGTGCCATTTGTATAAAGTAGGTGGTTGATGAGTCTTCCTCCAATTCTGGTGCCACATTCTCCTCACTATAGTGCAGCTTTTAAATGGTTTGTTCAGCCTACAGATTGTATAGATGTGGACACATGCACAACCCCAATGCACACCTATCCTGATTTAAATCATCCAGTGTTCTCTTGTTCCGTTTGTAGAACTACTTCTTGGTTTGTGTACGGATTTTACAGCACACATTTAAATGGTCTGGGATTTTCATTCATCTGAGTGTTAGACAGAATTTGTTATGACCTACACAGTCAAATGTCTTTGCCTGGAGAATAAAACACAAGTAAACACAAGTAACACTAGGCACTGTTAGGTCAGTTCTGACTCATGGTGACCCCAGGCAACATAAAACTATGCCTCAAGGAATGTTTTTAATAGCTGATTTCTTCCCCCCACAGAAGTATCACTAGTCCTTTTTTCCAAGGTGCTTCTAGATAACTACTACATATTTTGTCAGATTATAATCTGTAATGTGTGGAAACGCTTAAAATGCATGTGATCTCATAAACCTTCAACAGAATCATAACCATCAGAATAATAATGAATTTAGGGAGATCTTTTATGTCAGAAATGTTCATTTACCAGGTAAATCCTGTAAAGAAAGTTTACATTTGGTGTCAGATTAGGAGAGATCAGAACTCAAGAAAGGGATAAAGACAGTGAAGAGTCAAAGATAAATTTCCATTTAAGAGATTACATGAAGGTATCAAAAAGTACCTCCTTAAAAAATTGACATAAAAAATTGACCTTTTTATTCTTCTTGTGGATTCCATAATTTTAATAACTCTAAAATCATGAAGTGTAACTCAACATCTCTACTTTATAAGGTTTGCTAGTCACTCTGACATGTCAACAACATGTCTTAAGTATTGAAAAATTTTAAATGAAAGAGTACCAAGCTATGTTAAATGAAATATTGCCAACTTTATGTGTCAACTACAGTTGTGTTTACAATGGGGAGCAAGATGTACAAAAAACCACCTCCAGAAGGAAATATAGTGTCTCAAGTTGTGAAATGCATTTGGGTAAGTGCATGCATTGTTTACTTGCCTTTTCAAAATAAAGATGTCATTATGAGTATATGGGACTTTAAACAAAGGTATACATTTCTCTCACTGAATGATCTTTGTTTAACTATAGTGATATTTATCAACCTGAGATGAATCAGGCTTTGTGTCTCTAAAGAGTCAAATACTGTAACTTTAAAAATTTTTTAAAAACATTTTTTGAAATTGATATGATAGTAACAGGAAACGTGATAATAAAATTATGTGTATGTTTGGAGGAAGGGATAATGAATTGGAAAATACAAGAGATTGTTTCTGTTGGTCTTCCCTCTAACATCCGTACATTTCCCTAGTTTGCTGTTTCCAACCGTTTTAAGAATCGTTCTGGGAACATTCCAAAGAGACAACACTGGCTGGACTGGGCAGCTGAGAAATATTCGGTGAGTTAGACTTACGGATTCTGTGGAGTCTTCACCAATGTTCCATCTGATTCCTTTCCACTGCATTTAATCTGTTCTCATAATATTCTGGCCCATTTTTACTCTAAGCAAGAAAGCCGTATGTGGAACTTCTGGCAGTGTGGCTCATTCTTTCTTCTTCTTGCAGAAGCAGCTCATTATGGACGTGAAGGCATTGACCAGAGTACTGTTCCTTTACATCCCATTGCCCATGTTCTGGGCTCTTTTGGATCAGCAGGTAAGAAACAGAATTCTCTTGGTGGTTACTCCTTCTTCCAGCCCTTATCCTTATAGTAAAGGACTTTCTCATAACAGCATCTCTTTGCCCTAGGGCTCAAGGTGGACTCTGCAAGCCACCAAGATGGATGGGAATTTGGTGAGTAGAAAAGATTTTCCAGAGAAATCTATTCTTCTCTTTATCATTCATATTAAGAAAATTAATATCTTTATGGCTTTGCCTGAAAGCAAAATGAGATCATTAGGTAAGTATTTTTAACCTGAAGGTACTGAATATGAAAATAAAAAAAGATAGTCTAGAAAGTAAAAAAGAGTTTTTGTATTTAGAAATCAGAGCATGAGGATGGGAAATGTTTGCTTCTATATATTGAGAATATGGTAAAGGAAGGTCTTTAAACCTGCAGTACTGATTGATTTTCCCATCAGACCAGGAACACAGCAAAGACCGGTTTGGGTGGCTTTGCTACAATATTGGCTCCCCCCTGTTAGGCGTGAATCACAGCAGATGACCTGGAAGTGAGGCAGTTTACATGCAGATATGCAAAGGATAGGGAAATAAAAACATTAGTTTATTTTTTCCCCCTATCTCCCATCTTTGGCCTTCTCAAATAAGGTACCATTTCTATTCCACCTGCTAGATTTTTGTATCATTTTTCTTTTGCCTTAGCTGTATAGGCAGCGGAACGATGTAACACAAGAGTCCAGGGTGCTCTTTTTTTTGACCCCTGGAGAGCAGCTTTGAGAACACTGCTCTTGGAGTAAGAGTCTTCACACTAACATGGTACCTTGTCCTTCTCATTACCATCTCCAAATACAATTACAGAGATTAGTAAAACACTGACACTGTTCTCTCTCAAGCTAAAGGAAACATGTTGTTCTTTGGTGCTGTTGAGTCAAGTACAACTCAGAGCAACACTATGAATAACAAATCTGAATCCTGTCCTATCCTGAGCCATCTTCATCATCTCGGACATACTTGAGCCCATTGCTGCAGTCACTGTGTCAGTGCATATATTTAAGGGTCTTCTTATCTTTCACTGACACTCCACACTTTCAAACATGGTATCCCTTTCCAAGGAAGCAAAGAATGTAAAAAAATTATATTCTCCTTAATCTCAGTTATTTTCAGCAGACATAACCAGAAGACTTCTCCAATCTGTACTCCACAATCATATAACTGGCAGGCAAGGTCGTGCATGTGAACAAAGATCTGATGGATTTTTTTTTCTCTTATGTATGTCTTACCCTCTAATTAGCAGGATTGCTGATCTAGGCTTTCCTCTTCTTCTACCACACTCTAAATGTAATGTATTATGATATTTCAGGGTTTTTTTACACTCCAGCCTGACCAGATGCAAGTAAGTCTCCTCTCCATATCCATGGAGACCTATTTCTGTCCTCATCTATACTCTTGCTAGTATTTACTTTGATTAAAAAGAATATTTTTTTCTCTTATATGCCAAGTAAGGGCAAGGATAAGAGTAAAAAAAATATTCTCCTTAAGCCCTTATCCCCTCCTTTACACTCTCTGTTAAAGAAGTAGTTTTCCTAGTCTGTAGAGGGATTCAGTGCTATCCCAGAGCTCACACTTCTCAGGTGGTTTAAATTCACCAAAGTCTCCTCAGGAGAAAGACAGTCAATCTCCTCACGTGGTATTTACAGACTTGGAAATCCCAGGGCAGGATCAGCTATGAGTTGGTTTTAACTCCACTCCAGTTCCAGGGAGAACACACAGATCAAGTGTAAGCACTGCTATTTTTCCCATGCAAGGTAATAGAATGAAAATATTGTCAGTGAAAGATTAAGGCTTAGTTGTATGGGAAGAAAAGTAAGAATTTTAATTGTTTGACGATTTCCAGTTTTTTTCTTAACCTTTTTTTCTGACCTTTATCAACCATCCCTACATCTTCCTTCTCTTTCCTTTCTCCTGACCATGACATTTTTCTCTTGCACTGTGGAGCCGGGGAAGATAAGTGAAACTGGGAGAGAAGAGCTAACAATACGATAAGCAGGAAAAACTTTGTCTCAGAATGAAACTAACTGATGTCTTGATGTATTTGAAAACAAAGGTGTGTCATGTGAAAGAAATAGTGTCTTGGCTATAAAAGAAGTGGGTGGTATGGGAACATTCTCTTCTTAGTATGGTGAACACATGTGTGATGTGAAAGTGTGTACAAGCACGTGAGAGAGGAACATTGTAACTAGTCCTCCCTACCACGGCCTTACAGGTACTAAATCCTCTTCTGGTTCTTGTCTTCATCCCGATGTTTGATCTGGGTATTTATCGGCTGGTCTCCAAATGTGGAATTAAGTTCTCGTAAGTATTCATCATCCCTGTATCCTAAACTGTCTCAATCTTTGTCCAGTTGGACAAAGACTCAAAGGTTTAAGGAAGGTACGGTCTGGTCCTTCCTGTTGGCAAAGCCAGGAAAGATTCCTAAACAATAAGAAAATGAGGATATACAAGTGAAGCTTTTCCTACAACATCTGGCATAATGTCAATACTCAATAAATCGAGATGCACTAATGTTTTTGCTATGGTATAAAGGAGAGGGAGAATATAATAAGCCAAGGAAGAGGTAGGGAGAATGGGGCATTGCAGAGATAAGAAGTTCAATGCGGCTTAAGTAAAGTGAAAAAGAAGAGTGTGTGAAGGGGAGAAGGGTCTCAAATAATTGGTTATGCTCTGGTGGCATAGTCTGTAGGGAGTTACACTACGAATCCAAAGCCACGTCTCTCCAGAGGTTCAAATCCACCAGTAACTCCATGGGGAAAATCTCCTTACACGTGATTTACAACCTCAAAAAACCAATGGAACATGTGATTTACAACCTCAAAAAACCAATGGAGGGTCAACTATGAGTTGGTTCTGACCCAATAGTAACGAGTTTGAGCTCTGTTGTATTGTGGTTGTGTTTTTTTTTTAAATGAAGTTTTTACTTTATCCTTTATAATGTTTAGATATAATTATCTTTCTCATTCCTCCGTAGATCTATTAGGAAGATGGCCATTGGTATGATCCTAGCATGCCTGGCCTTTGCAGTTGCTGCAGTTGTAGAGATAAAAATAGATGTGAGTATAATAAATTTTAAGTTTCACAAGAGCAGAACCACAGCTTTCTTCTTCGCTCTTCTTTCTGGCTCAATCTTGACTCCCAGACGCTTGTTGTGAGGTGCCATTGAACTGAGTACGACTCATAGTGACCCTGTGAACAACAGATCTGAACCCTGCCCTATCCTGTGCCGTCCTCATCATCTCTGACATAATTAAGCTCATTGCTTCGCCGTGTCAATCCATCTCATTAAGAATCTTCCTCTCCTTCATTGACTCTCCACCTTTCCAAGCATTTCCTCTCTAAGGAATAGCCTTTCCTAGCAACATACCCAAAGTATGTGAGACATTTGAAGCTTTGTCATCTTTTCCTCCAGGGAGAACTCTGGCTTCACCTTCCCCAAGACATATTTATTTGGTTTTGTGGGTGTGGGTTTTTTTTCCTTTTTTTTTTTTCAGCCTATGGGATATTTAATATTCCTCTTGCACTACAGCTCAAAGGCATTAATTCTTTTTTTTACCATCACATTTATTTTGCTTAATGTTAGCAGAAGCAATTTTATCATCATCAGCCTTTAAAACAGGCCTGTTGGAAAAGAGGCTCTTTCCATCTCAGATGATTTAATTAAGCTTCTACAGTTATTCAGTAAAATATTCACTGACTTACGAAACAATTGTTGTTGTTGTTGTTGTTAATTGCTGTCGAGTGACAGGCTACTCATAGGGACCCTATAAAGGAAAGTCCTCAGCACTTGTGTGTCTTTCATCCTCTCTCCAGATTCATAGGGTTTCCGGAGGCAAGCTATTATGGAGGTGGATGCCACTCCTGCTTCCAAGCTTGTTTTAATTGGGGAGCTCCACCAAACACTGTCCACCATGGGTAACCCATTAACTCATTTGAAACATCAGCGTCACAGTGTTCAGCCTCACAGAAACCACAAGTTACCTCTGTACTGCAAGTGGACACACCAGGGCTAGATGACCTAGAGGAATGTTTGAACAAAAACAATGAAAGACAGGCCCGAAGGCCGCAGATTAAAAGTCACCCACTTTTGGCTTGGTAGCATCACTTTCTGTCCACTGGGCCAGCTGATCACTCTCTATGTTGATGTTATTGTTGTTAAGTGCCGTTGAGTTGCAGGTGACTCATAACGACCCTATGAAGGAAAGTCCTCAATATTTGTGTGTCTTTCATCCTATCTCCAGGTTCATAGGGTTGCCGTACAGCAGTAATTTGTGGTTGCTGTGAGGCTGAACACTGTGACACTGATGTGTTAAATACATTAATGGTTGGTTACTCATGGTGGGCAGTGTTTGGTGGAGCTCCCCAATTAAAACAAGCTTGGAAGCAGGAGCAGTATCCACTTCCGTAATAGTTTGCTTCTGGAACGGAACAATTAGTCAAAATTTATTGCATAAATAGATGGCATCCTGGCAGGCTTGGTAGTGTGTATAAAAGACTTTCCTATTTTCCTCCTTCTTCTTCAACATTATTTAATCAATGAACTTGTTACTTCACACGTCTGTGGGTGCTTATCTGACATACTTCTGAATCTCCTGCGAGAGTTTTTTTGTGTTCTGACCTTGTAGTCCTCGCTCAACCAATAATTCACCTATCATTACTCCTATATGAGACCTGGTAGTCCCTTCCTCCCCCCTTTTTTTAACATTGGCAATACTTATTTTTACAAAATTTGGCTCGTATTTTTAAGCAGGTACAAAGGCATCAATTTTTCTTCTGTCATCCTTATTTTTTTTTGTCCAGCTCTCAGATGCATAGCAAATTATTGAAAAGACCATGGCCTGAATCAGGGGTACTTTAGTCTTCACACTGATGTCACTGCTCCTCAATAATCTGGCAGTCAGGACAAGCCAAAAGCAAATCAATTGCCATTGAGTTGAAATTACTTTCAGCAACCTCTCTAGGTATTAAAGCAGATCACTAAGCTTTATCTTCCAAGGTACCTCTGTATTGGCTCAAATAAGCTACCTTTTAGTGAGTGACTTCACTATTTGGTTCACCAAAGAATTTCTCGCACTTAGCACTATAAGCCAAATCAACTGCTGTTGTTGGTGTCTGACTCATAGTGACTATCCACTAGATTTCTGAGACTACAACTCTTTACAAAAGAAAAGTTACATATCTCTTTCCTGGGGAGCAGCTGATGGAGTCAAATTGTTGAACTTTCAGTTAGCAGCCTGCCATGCTACACACTATGCCATCTGTGAAATGTTGCTGGTAGCTACTGTCCAGTCAGCCCCCAAACACAACACTGTGATCAGGGTTCACCAGGCTTTTCTCTCTAGTTCAACTGAGTTTGAAAATTCCTCTGAAGCCCATCAGTGCCATAGCTACACACAAGTCTCCACTGACAAGCATGTCACTGGGCTTCTGTATTGATGGTGAGAATTCCAGCACGAAACACCCCACTGTCCTCACCTCTTAGAGAGGAAAGCCTTAATAAATTTTTGTGACAGTGAAAAGAACAATTGTCAGAGCTCCAATGAGGACCCACGTACCACCTGAGTAATTCAGAATATATTGGCGGAGGATCCCCAATTGCTACTATCCAAGATTATCTAGCAATCCCTGTGGTATCACACAGTTATATGACACCTCGCTAGATACGCAACAAAAGCCTTTTGGCAGATGAAACAACCACTACCGAGAAAGGAAGTATGGAAGTACAAGGGTACAGTTCAGTCAAAATAATAGAATTTGCTCCCTGACATTGGTAATTCTTCTTTGATCTGGTATTTCCTTGCTTTCATTGTGTTTAAAATTTTGTATGGCAAACGCTCTTCATGGGGAGTACTTTATGTCCTCTCAGCTGGTAGTGATAGGATATCAGAGACAGAACTGAGACAGTGTTCTCCCTGTGCCTGAAGGGGCTGTTTGTTGTGTTCTGACTTGTGTTTTCTGTTCTAAGGGGATGGTTCCACCTGAGGCGGGTCCCCAGGAAGTTTTCCTCCAGGTGCTGAATCTGGCAGATGGTGACGTCAAGATGACAATGGTGGGAAACAACAACTCTTCTCTGTTGGACCAGTCTCTCAGGTCCTTTCAGGTGAAGTATGGGCATGAATGAATTAGACTTCTTCAGAGCGTGTGTTCCGCAGTCAGCACAGCAGTTCAGACTTATCTACTGAAATAGAAGCATAATATAGTGGTTAAGAACACAGACCTCTGAGTTAAACTGGCACAATTCAATTCCTCGTTCTACCACTTCTTAGTCAGAAGACCCTCAACAATCTATTTTATCTCTAAATCTCAGATTCCCAGTACATAAAATGGCAATAATTTCTATGCTGGACCTGGTGAGGATAGATATTATGTGTAAAGTACTTAGCATTTTACCTGGCACATTTTAAACTTTCAGTGGGTTGCTGTTTATTGTTTGTTGTTGTTATTATATCAAACTGCCTTTTAATTCACAGGTACTATGGAAGAGTTTATGTTGCATAGTTTCATGTCAATTCATGTAAATGTTGTGAAATATTTACTTGAAAATATTGTTTTATGGTAACAAAAGTAATGCATATTTATCATTGAAATTGGGAAATATATAGAAAGATTTAAAAATTACCCATAATTTCATCACCTAAACGTAATGACTAGCTTTTAGTTACAATTAAATAAACTCATTTCTAAATGTATTCAAACCTCTATGTATTGACCTTAGATTCCTGCTCCCCACTCCCCATATTAATTACATCTTGAATATTTTCTTGAGTCCTTAGATAATCTTTGGAAGCATTATTTAGTGGTCATGTGTTACTCCATGACTGACCCATAGCCTTATTTTTCCATTTCTTTATTCATATTTATAGGGAGGTCTGTTGGTATAGTCTATAGGGAATTGAACTGCCTACCTAAAGATGTTTTTTGGTGGTTTAAATCCTCCAGTGGCTCCAAGGGAGAAAGATGGGCAATAACCGCCAGTGGGATTTACAGCCTCCAAAAGGTCAGCTATGAGTCTGTTCCAGCTTGACAGCAATGAGTTGAGTTTGAGTTTTTATGTACATTTAAATTTTTGTTATTATACACACACACACACACACACACACACACACAGTGACTATCCTTATATGTAAACCATATGCATACCATTAATTTATATGCATGCAAGAAGTGATATTTTTAAGTCAAAGAGTAATGTTGAAATTATGTGAGTCAATTTCCCCCCATCTTAAGATACTAGGAGGTTGTTATGTCCAAGATGGGGTAGATAGTGACCGTGTGGTACTTTCTTCTGCAGAAAACACCTCACTATTCCAAACTGCACTTGAATACTAAAATCCAGGATTTACACTTCCACCTGAAGTATCACAATCTCTCTATCTACGCTGAGCATTCTGTAGAGGGGAAGAATTGGTACACATTGATCCTTCATGGGAATGGAAAAAATATCTCCAGCATGATGGTAAGTTAATGAGTTAACACCCTAGATCCTGAGATGTCATCTCAGAGACCAAGATGTCATCTCAGAGGAGATGAACTGATTTACAAGTATCCACCACAGATCTGCCTGATGATCAAAATTTCAGATTATCAGTTCCCTGCTTCCAGTTGTCATGTAACTGATGTTTGCTTTCCTCTTTTTAGGTGAAGGATGCAGAAAACAAAACCACCAGTGGAATGACAGCTGTGAGGTTGGATGTCTGGCAGACCTCGGGCTCTTCTGCTCTCTGGGACTTTGGGTCTCTTTTGCTCTATGGGGTTTCAGATGTAGATAGTTCACATTCTGTTTGTCTTGAACAGTAAAATGCCAAGAACCCGGGTGTCAGAACATCTTGTCTAGGGCAGAGAAAGGTAGATAGACGTACTTTCCCATGTGATAGTCCTTTCTCTGAATGCCCCCTGTACTCTGCTATGTAAATCTCTTCTGTTCGTTTTAGCCATTTAGGGAATCATTAGGAAAATAACCGAATGATTTCCTTTCAGTAATTAATGGAATATAGCAGAGATTGTTGTGATGGGAGAGGATGGGGCAAGGTTCTGATTTGTTTATCATAGGGTCATTGTGGAGGGAGTTGTAGTTGATTCTGCAGCACCTAAAACCAACAATCACTGGAGAAAAATTTAAAAATGAGCAAATGATCCTGCCTTCAGTGTTGGGCTTGGAATATATAGTATTGTTACTGTGTTTTTATAGCATAAGTCTTTTGTGATATGCCTATAGAAGTATGATGGTGTAGTAGAGGTAATGTATTGGGAATCGAAAAACTTGGTTCTGAATCCATATAAGGCTGAAAGTCTTAACAGACAGCAAGTTACTGAGACAGTTACTGAGATGAAGCAACAAGGAAGTCACTTGCTTTCTGTGAAAGGACACAGACGTGACACAGAAGGACATGCCTGTGACCATTAAGATAAGGGTCATTATCGAAAAAAAGCAATTTAGAGAATGTGAAAAATGTCTGTCTTTTACTCAAATAATAATTTGCTTCAGGATATGTTTCTGTAAGAACACAATCCTTAAAATAAGAAAAGATATCCATAACAAAAACAATGGAAAGCAAGTACAAGTAGTCTATAAGTCAAGTGCTCATAATCTGGATTTACTGTATACCTACATGTTTATTCCATATTTCTTAAAATGGGATCACACCACACATTACATTTTTAAATTGCTATGGCATTATTATTAATTTCCCACCTTAAACTCTCTAAAAATTGCGAATTAAAGTGAAAGTTTACAAAGAAAAAATAATAAGAGAAGATAGAACTCAAATGAAGTTAGGGCTTCCATGATCCAAGATTACCCTGGAAAGGATAATTGCTAGGTCAACGAAGAAGAGTCTACACATTGTACTCCTTATTTCATAGGCCAGAGACCAAAACAAATGTACTGGTAACCCATGCTGAGGAGAAATATCTAGGGATCTGACTTCAAGAGACAACAAAGTGGGTTCTGGAAGGAGCCAAGAAACAGTAACTCAACCTAATGTACTCAGTCAAACCAGATCTAAGCATTATAATAGCTCAGTCTAACATGACATACACCAAACCAGATTTAACTTATAACAGGACAAAGTAAAGTAACAGTTGTAGGTAAACAACAGCATGTGTTTATATATACACACATCATTATTTTATTTTCTTTTTCTTAGTAAAATCTTAGTTGATGATTTCCACCATTATAAGAAAGAAATTGAATACACACAAATTAGATTAGTGAGGAAACTCAGGCTTCCAAAAGTGATTATGATGATGTCCACTCCCGTTAGATATTTGGTGAGGGTGCAGCAGGTGAACACCTCAGGAACATGGATAGGGATAGCCGATCAAGATTTCTGTTTTACATGTAAAGTATATGCATTCATCCAGTTAACAATATACGCGACATGTATTGCCAGCAGCTCTTCTAAGGGGCTCTGGTGGTGTCGCCCAGAGGTCCGGAGAGAGTTGTGCTGCTTATTCACAGGTGGCAGTTTGACCCCCCAGGTGCTCCATGAAGAAAGACTGACAATCTCTTCCAGTGTTTTGTACAGCTTTGGAGACTCACTATGAGTCAGTTCTGACTTTACAGAAATTAGAGAGGAAAGGGGAGGGATATGGAGCGAGCAAGAGAAGGAAAGGGTAAGGATGGTAGGAAGGGAGAGAGCTAGAGAGAACATCTAAGCATAGAGGATAGAGTAATAACAAGACAGATAAGGTATTTACCTACCTTTAGCAAATATTCCTGTTGTAAAGGTTTGTCTGGTGTGTAAATCATGTTTCTACCCTCAGGTTTGTAAACACTTTGCATAAAGATGTCCATATTTTCCTGGGTGAAGATACAACCCTAGATGTTCCTGAAGCCTATGGTGTGTCGGCTTACAGAACTGTGGAAAAAGGAGAGTAAGAGCATTACTTTTCTAGGCATTTTACCTTTATCAACAACTGTTTGTTTTTTTAAAAAGACTGCTTTTTTGATGTAGGTGGGGATTTAAGCTTTGCATTGCTAATTAAAAGGTTATGTGTCTCTGGTGGTTGACACCCGTCAATGGCACTGCAGGCTGAAAATGGGAGGTCTCCTCTGTTAAGATTTCTTTACAGTCTTGGGAACTGATGGTGTCACTAATTGTAGGAGGCTAATTGTAAGGAGCCCTGATGACTTGATGTGCTGGGCAGCTAACCAAAAGGCCAGAGATTTGCTCTGAAAGAGAAACCCGAGCAGCCGGAGACGCTCACAGTGTTTTTTGCTCCTGCTTTTAATACTTCCTGTTGGCAATTCGTTAGTCAGAACTCATCCTCTCAGATCCCTTGTTTTATGCTGTTTCACTTGTGTTCACCATAAAACTCTCCTGCTGCTGTTGATATTGTTAAACCAGCCTGTGATTCATGGTGAACCTCATGTGAGACAGAACAAAATGCTAGTAGGACCTGTGTCATGTATTTGATCTGCAAGGTTTTCAATGGCTAATTTTTGGAAGTAGAATGCCAGGCCATTCTCACTAGTCTATTTTAGCATAGAAGCTCAGCTGAAATCCATTTAGCATCATAGCAAAGCCCCAGGCTGCACTGGTAAACGTGGTGGCTTCACACAAGGTGCACTGATCAGGAATCTAACCCAGGTTGCCCACATGAAAGATAAGAATTCTACTACTGAACCATCTGTACCTCTCCTCTCCTGGTGTGGAAACATTTTACTCCTAGAGAATCTTCCCCTTCAAGAGAAATGGTAGCTTCACTGTGCTGGCCAGCAGCAGAGATACTCTTCCTCAGGAGATGAGAGTACTTTTATAAAACATAATGTTTATTCCTGTTTCAGATACCCTGCAGTGCATTGCAGAATGGAAAACAAGGACTTTTATCTGAACTTGGGACGATTAAACATTGGAGCAACCTATCTGTTTGTTATTACTAATGTAAGTATCTCCTGGCTACCCTACATTTTCTTCCATCTCTCCTATCTATTATCCTGAGATCTTCCTGGCTAGGGGAGAGGACAATGGAGTCTGGCAAGACAGAATCAATGCTTTCTAATGTAAGATAGCAAGTTCTACTCTAGACAAACCTCATTAAGGTCTCCATATACGATTTTAAAATACATAATATTGGAAGCAGGAGTGGCATCCACTTCTTAAACAACATACCTACAGAAACTCTATGAACTTTGATAAATGTCAATTAGTTATAGAAAGGCTTCAGTGCTTTTGTTCATAAGGTCACTTTGAGACATGCTTGACTCGAAGACAATCAACAACAACAATATTGGCAATAGGTGTAGGGTTTCGGTGAGGGGGCAGGATGGGAGACATAATTTTTATCTTTGAGTTATCACTATGAAGTGACTATCATGGCCTGAGTGAAAAATAAAGATTATTTTTCTTTTTGGAAGGCTCTAAATACAAGTCTTTTCGTTTCCTGGAAATCTGATCTGCTAATATAAAACAGTATGAAATATCAAGACATTAGTAGCTGTCATTCTGTGCACATTTGGGAAATCAGTTAAATGTGTTTCCTCAGCAGCAAAGTAATCAGGGTAGGAAACCTTGGCCTTTTGATTTTGGGGACAATCTTGATTCTCCTTGCTGTTCATTACCTGTGACGTTGTAACAAAGACAGGGCAGGAAAAGAAGATGGTGGCTAAAAACATTTTAATACATAAGTAAAAGGGAACATTTCTAGAGGGATGATGAAAAATCAATCTGGAAAGTTTGGTTTTTAAGAATTTATGAAATTAATGTAATGTCTTTATTAAGACTTAAAAATACCATTTTATTGAAATATAATCCATATGTCATATCATATCATATTATTTATCTAGTTAAATCGTGGACATTTGGATTGTTTCTCTGTCCTTTTTTTGCCATTAAGAAAAATGCTGCAATAAAAACCCATGTTAGGGACACTGTGAGTCCCAGGTGACTGGATGACACATATAAACAACAATATGGACAAACTTCTAAAAAATTTTTTTGAAAGTATAGTGTGGATCATAACAAACTGTGGCTGACTCTGAGAAGAATGGGAATCCCAGAACATTTAATTGTGCTAATATGAAACCTATACTTGGACCAAGAGGCAGTAGTCAGAACAGAGCAGGGTAATACTGCATGGTTCAAAATTGGGAAGGGTGTACGCCAGGGATGCAGCCT